TGTATTGATTTCTTTAGTGAATTTTTGTTCCAGGTCCTGGAGGCTTTTTGTGGTTTCTTTGTGTTGGTTATGGAGTTGTTCTTGCAGGTCGTTGAATTTTCTTATTATCCACATTCGGAATTCCTCTTCTATCATTTTGGTTTCCTGGTTTTGGTTGGTGTCCGTTTCTAAGGGGCTGGTGCTCCTCTTTGGGGGTGTGGTTTCCGTTTGGTTCTTTATATTTCTGGAGTTCCTTCACTGATTTCTTCCCATGTTGATCAGTTGTTGTTTCTTTCCTTTAGGTTTTTGTTTGGGTATTGACACGCCTTGTTTAGCCTCTAAGCCGGTAGGTGGTGTCTGTGGGTCAGATTCGACCACTCCCTGTATAATGAGTCAGTAGGTGCTGTGAAAAGGGTGTGCAGGGTGTCCTCCCTGTCAGTAGATGGCGCTTGCTTGGAGGAACAGGCTACCCTGTTGTTTTTGTGTCCTGTTATCAGCTCTTCTTCCTCTAGAGAGGCACTCTAGTGCCTCAGGTGGTGGGTGGGGCCCTGGGACTTCCAGGTGTGTCCTTTTCTCCCCCTCAGTGAGGGCTGGCCTAGGAGAGAGTCTGGGTGGAGCTGGGTTGGGTCAGCCTGCCCTCAGGCACCACCAATGCCGTTAGCAGAGGTCAAAGTTCTGTTCTCTGCTTCCAGGAAAAGCTGCCAGGGAGGGGCTGGAATGGCCCTGCTCACCCAGAAAGTCTGCGTGTGGGGTGGGGCTGTCTGAGACCTGCAGTCTGGAGCGGGCCTCACTTCTTTCCACCCTCCCCAACTCCACGGCTACTCCTGGGCCTCTGCCAGCAGGCCAGACCACACGCCACCAGGCCTCCCCTGACTGTGATGCCGGTGGGGAGGTTCCCTGAGCAGGAATGCCTCCTGGGCTGGGTGTATGGCCTCCCTTTGGGAGGAGGGTTGCCCTCTAGGACGCTGATCTGCCCCTGAAGGCACACACACCGCAGTAGGCTTCGTCAGGAATACCCCTTCTGTGCCCCGCGCAACGCGAGACCTGGGTGCACGGGATCTGGTCTGCAGGTCTGACCTCTGGGCCCCACAGTTCAAACTACATCCCCACCAGGGAGAGGAGTGCCAGTCCCAATTCACCCTCGGGAGCCCAAGCTGGGTCTATGTCTCTCAGCCTCAGGATCTGCCCCGTACTCCTGGGATCACCAGGCCAGCAGCTCCTGGGAGGGCTGGCGGGTGGGGAGCTCCCAGTCTGAGTTCCCCTCAGTCAGCTGTAGGGCCCCAAAAGGGAAGGTCCCGTTCCCTGGAGGTGCCTCCGGCTGGTGGCTATACTGTCTCTCTCAGCAGCCGCGGATAGGGTGGGGGAGGGGAGAATGAGGCAATGTGGCGCCTGCCGCGCGGCTCGGGTCTGTGCACAGGGAGGTGCCCAGGGGAGTTGGGAGCCTGGTGCCGCGTCCGCTACAGGCTTACCGTCTCTGGGCTGGTGTCCGCAGGTCTCTCCACCCGCTGGGGTGCCCACCAGCAGTCCGAGATGCAAGGGCGGGGAGAGTTAACCGCGCCACCTACCCTTGCCGCTGGTCTCCAGGCTGCTCCGGAGGTCTCTGCTTCTAGTTCTTCTCCGCAACCTCCTCCCGTATAGTCTCCCGTGGTCTCAGGTACCCCTCCTTCCGACCCTCCTCTGATGTGTGCGTGTCTGCTTGCTTCTTTCTTCTAATTTCTGCTAGAATCTGTCTTTTCTGCAGAGACGCTCTGTCTGGCGGTGCTTCTCGTCCGCCATCTTGATTCCCCATTAATTTCTTTCTATTTTTAGTAGAGACGGGGTCTCGCTCTTGCTCAGGCTGATTTTGAACTCCTGACCTTGAGGGATCCTCCCGCCTTGGCCTCCTAGAGTGTTAGGATCACAGGGTGCCTGACCCTGAACACTTTTTTAAACAAATTTCTGTATCTAACGATGGGAAGAATTTTCCACAGACCACCTTCTGGCTCTATGCTCAAACCTTGTTTTTTCTCCACTATCCCCATACTTAATTGCCAAATGCCTTAGAACAAGTTCATATTATGGTACAACATTTGGCCCCATCCCTTAAAGTCACAATGCCCATGACCTGGCCCACTGGGCAGTGGGAACTTTCCCAAGTGTCCTTTTTATTAACACAATAGACAACTACCACACTGGAGAGAACTTTCGGGCCCAGCCAACACCAACTGCCAGACGTGTACTGGGGACATCCAGGTCTCCCCAGTCTTGGTCGAGCTGTCAGCTGACAGCAGCCACGTGAGTGATCCTGGCAAGACCAATGGAAGAACTGCACAGATCGCCAGCTCACAGGATTATGAGAAATGATAAATTGTTTTTGTCTTAAACCACTACGTTTTTGAGTGCTTTGTTGTATAGCGACACATACACCTGCAAATCATCTAACTGGGTTTTCAACAAACCCAGTTTGAATGCCTTTCTTCTAACTGATAATAACTTATCACAATTTGTTAATAGTTAATACTTAATGATATGTTTGGTCGATTCCTAACACTTTATTTTGAGTTTTCTATTGACATGCTTTTTTGTCTGCCCCCCTTTTTTGCTTTTTGTTAGACAGGTCAAGTTTTATTTATGGTATTTTTTCTCTCATTGTCTGGGAGTTATAAATCCTATTTCCATTCTCCTGGCTTTTCTATTCAAACAAAGGAATATATCTGAACCTGTTTCCTTATTTTTCTTTGTCTATTAGGTGTGCTTTGAGTTTAATTAGGCTGAATTTTACCCATCAGAAGGGACGCTGCTGTCTGTGGCCTAGAACACCGTAAAATACAGAGAAGCCATCAAAGTCCCCACAGGAAAGGGCCTCGGGCCTGTCTGTGTGGCGTGCGAGCGGCTGGTGATCGGACGTGGCTGAGGAAGGCAGCGTGGAGGCAGCGGCTCTGCACACGCCAGTCACCCATCTGCCACTCAGCAAAAGCGGCACCTCCTGTAGGTTGACCCGCCGTCCTCAATGCCCAATTCCTGCCCCGACCAGACCTTAGGCAGGCTCCTCTCTTTCCTGCAGTCCCTGAAGTCTGCTTTCCTCCAAGCCTGCCAAACATGAAAAAATGTGGAACGTGACCCCTTATCAGCTCCTCCTGGGAACTGGCTGACCACAGCAAGCGCTTTCCCGTCACCCCGGGCTTGTTCAGCTCCCCTCCAGAGACTTTGCTTATCTCTACTGCTTGCCCCTCCTTTACCCTGTAAAAGAAAGATCTTTTTCTGTTTGAAATTTTTTTTTTTTTTGGAGACAGGGTCTTGCCGTGTCACCCAGGCTGAAGTGTAGTTGTACGATCCATAGCTCACTGTAGCCTCTAACTCCTGGGCTCCAGCGATCCTCTGGCTTCAGCTTCCTGAGTAACGGGGACTACAGGTGTGTGTTGCCACTCCCAGCTAATTTTTCTTTTTTGTAGAGATGGGGTCTCACTGCGTTGCTCAGCTGGTCTCAAACTCCTGGCCTCAAGTGATCCTCCTGCCTTGGCTTCCCAAAGTGGCTGGGATTACAGGTGTGAGCCATACCCAGCCTTCTGTTTGATTTTGAGACGCTTACAGATTTCTGAGATGGGAGCATTCTCCATATTGCAATAGTCTTTCTAATTAAAGTCTCTCCCTATTTAATTCTGGATTTGTTTTTATTTGACAAAATTTAGTCACCATTTTCTGGGGATAACTTGGATAACATCAGAAACCTGGAGGGTACACTCTCCACAGTCAGGAGCAGCTTACTCACCTTTCTTCCCTAGAACTGAGGCTGCTTGAGGCATGACAGGCCCTCAACGGAGGAGGCTGGGAGACCTGGTGCCTGCTCCTCCTTGCCCCAGGAGCTAAGTTCTCCCTGTTCACAGCTGTAGCTGCCAGCGATTCTGGGAACACATTCTGCTGCCATGGAAATGAGTGCAGTCACAGAGTAGGAAACTTTAAGTTACTTTTCTGAGAGAGTTACATCATTTAGAAGCAGATCTTTAAAAGTCCTTGTTCCTGCAGGAGTCAGTGGCTGGGTGACAGTAATCCAATCCACATGGTTAGCTATGACTGTCACATGAAGGTAAAATGACTGATTGGACACGCAAAAATTCTTGCCAATTACATGGGCTCCCTGCTCCCTCCAGCTTGCAGCTGGACTTACTGACACATCTCGGCAGCAGCTGGACCCACCCTAGTGACTGGGGCAAGCTGATCTGTGAGTCTCAGTTGTCCTTGAGAAAGCTGAGTCGACTAAAAGCTGTTCACCCTTCCCCTGACACTGCTGCGGGGGCTGGTCCCACCTTCTCCGGCCTCGCTGGGCCTGTGCATCTTTTCATCACTCTTGACTGGCTCTGGCCTATTTCTGGATCCCATGTCTGTCCTCTGACAAACCCTGCATCTCCGCCAGCTTCCTGGCGTCTGTCACTCCGAGAGGCACGGGAAAACGACATTGCCCAACAGAACCAGCATCTCACCGTGGCAAAAATAGACTCATCAAAAGCAATCTGGGCACACACGAATGTCCCCAGCACCGAACACCCCCAATCACTGATTTCCTCTGTCTGAGTAACTTATTCCCCATGAGGCTGTTTTATGAACATTTATGCACCTTTAGACATTTTAACGGTCTGATTTTCTTAATTTTGATGGCTTTTCCTTTTTCCCTTTACTTAAAAAAATTATTTAAATCCATTTATAACTGATGATTGCTTTTCTCTATAGTAGCAACAAGCTAAAAATAATGTAATTATCCAACAATAAAAGGCATTTCCTGTTCATCTTTTTGCTCCTTGGTGCTCAGGCTGTAGGTCGAGGGTGACTCATCCCCTCCCCCGGGCCTTGCCTGCTGGGAGGCTGGGGCTAACCTATGGCCTGGCAGCCTCGGCCTCTGTCTTTCCTAAGAATCTGTTCCAGCCAGCTGACCTGCCTGGCCCTTCCCAATCTGACAGGAGACCTCCTCATTCCTGGGGTGCTGAATGGCACAGTCCTGCCCACAGCAACCGATGACAAAAGTGCATCTAATCTGCACACCCAGTTTGCTCCCTCTCCCATGAATGCAGGCTGCACCCGAGGAGCTGCGCCTGCTCCCCTGCTTGCCCCTGCGCAGCACAAACAACCTCGGTACCGTCAGTGAAATCCTCAGATCGCTCGCAGTGCGCAGCGCCCCCACTTCTCAGTCACATGTCAGGCCCAGAAGCAGCTATGATGATTACAGCATCACCTCCCTCCTCTCCATCTACACAGTTGAACAGCTGCGCTGCAGTCTAGAAAAGTCACCCTGAAAACCAGCTCTAGTTTGAGGAGGTGACATGTTCTTGCTTTGTCCCCAAAGATGTTCTTCTGCTGTCCTCGCAGGGGGGAGTACCTCCTGGGCTGGCTGCAGCAGTCCTGCCCAGGGAGGGAGAGATCTGGCCACCAGTACGGAAGCTGAATGTCACCAGTCTGGGATGAGGTGGGTACTTTTAATCAATCAACCCCATTGATCAAGTTTTTCATCTTCCAAAAAGACGCTAATGCCCAGTTGAAAATAGCAGGCACTGAATTAGCCCGGGCATATCACACAAACAAACTCTCATATCACACTGTTGCCGTGGCGCTTTATAAAGCTGAGTAAAGTTACATTTCCTGAGTCGGAGGTTGCAACTGAAATGACTGGAGTGGGAACAAAAGGGGAAGTTTTGATGACAGATAGGTTGACCCTACAGTGTAGAGCTGATTCTGGGAGCTATTCCAGCGAGCACGTGCTCTATGTTATATGGAGCTGTCTGTTGAATCGTGTAACCAAAACACGTTCTCCATAGCTCTTAGGTATTTTTATTTGAGAATGGAGTTTCAAGTTGTTTTCCTGATTTCTATGAAGACCATGATGAAATCACAGAATATATAAAACATGAGATAGTGTATATTTTGTCCAAATGCAAATTAGACTCTACTTATCTATCTGCATGTTTGGCCAATGGTGAAAATGTAAATTTTGGAAAATTCCACTGAGTCCATAAACTTCTTTTTTGAGACAGCATCTGGCTCTGTTGCCCCAGGTAGAGTGCAGTGGCATCATCACAGCTCACTGCAACCTCAAACTCCTGGGCTCGAGCAATCCTCCTGCCTCAGCCTCCCGAGTAGCTGGAGGCACCACCATGACGACTGGCTAATTTTTCTATTTTTACTAGAGACAGGTTCTCGCTCTTGCTCAGGCTGGTCTCAAACTCTTGAGCTCAAGCAATCCTCCCCTTCCAGCCTCTCGAGTGCTGGGATTACAGTGACATGAGCCACTGTACCCAGCCCATAAACTTCTTATCAAAGAAAATTTTTAAAAATCTTACCTGCTAAGCACCTTTAAACAACTCCTCTAAAAAGAGGTATGATTTGCTTGCCTATAATATTGACACTATCATAATGAAATTTTTGGTTACTTTTCAGTTTTCTCACAGCATGCAGAAGCACTTTATGAGATTTTTGATTTATGGAAGTGGAAGGAGATAGCCTTCTTAGACATCTATAAGATGTCTAAAGAAAAGATGTTAGAATGTTGGCCTACTATAAAACCATATTTTCTAAGTGTGGAATAAGCAATGTCCGTCTCTGATTTAGAAATACATTGAGGATAAGAATGGAGAAAAGAGTTACTGTAAAATGAAATGTATATGCTGTTTCTCTAAAACTGTTTCATAATCTTTGAAGAAGCTATAGAAAGGATGAACTAAGTGCATCTGACTTGCTCCATTTAGGTGTAGGTTGTGACAAAAACTCATCCAATGAAAAAAATGACTCATTTCTTGGAAGAAGATTGCTTTGAAACTCAAAAAATTATCAGCAGGAAAAGATAGCCAAGTTAAACAGGACTTTCTCAATTTCTTTACTTAAACTGTAACTTAATTGGAATCCAATTACCTCTGTGCTTTAAAACCATTTTTTTTCTTGAGAAAGAGGTTTAACTTAGGATGACATCCAACGTGCTTTGAAGTGTTTAGAATGATGGACATTTTAGACAGGGCTCACCTGTCTAAATGATGAATTTGTGAGTGCAATAGACCTTATTGACAAACAGCTGGGCTAGCAGACAAGGCTGGTCTAAAGTGAGCCTACAGATAAAAAGAAGATGGATATTTGTGGAGAGGCGGAAATGTATTCCTCCAAGTCTGAAACCCGCTGTTGCTAGCGAGCGAAGCCCCCAGCATTGCATGTCGCGCCTGGGACGAGAGCTAGGACCAGTGGGCCGTGGGCTCAAGAAGAGCAGAGCTGCAAGTCAAAGTGCATTTCACACTTGTCTCTGGGTGTATCATTATATAAAAAGAAAAGATGGATGCCCTACATGCTCAGGCAATTTGGAGGATTATTAACAAAGGAAGCTGAAAGAATAAAAATATCCTACTGTAGCATGGGACAAAAGGAATGTCACTGTTATTTTTATTAAATTTATATAATATCTATTTCATTAATCCTATTGTATTTATGTTTTGTTTTTGGAAGTCTTAGATCTATATATCTTAAGAATATATAATAATTAACCTATAAAACTTAAATATCCAATAAGGAATTTTTAAAAGTTAAAATAAATTGTTGTACCAGAGGATAGAGACAGTATAAAAATTGTTATATTTTTCTTGCACATGTTAATTAGTCTTGCTATTCATCACTACCAATTGCCACTAACTAGTCCTACTGATGTTTTGTTTAAATAGCATTTATGTAACAGCAAAGTAAATAATAAAGAATATATTTCAAAGAAACACCTATTTTTTATATTTTTATGGTCATATTTAAAAAGCGATAACATATCTGTGTATAGTTATTTGTTACATATTATATCATTGTGGCTCTTTTATTGGTCTGGCATGGTGGGACTATGTGAGGCTGTCTTTTTAAAAAGCTGGTGATCCTGTCCGGCACACAGCACCCTTCTGGGGTTCATCCGTGGTGGTGTGCAGACGGGTCGTTCGGTCTTATTGATTGCTAGGCGGTGCTCCATTCTGGGGGATGGACATAGCCCTGCTGATGTCGTTGTTGTTTGTATCCATTCACTAGCTGATGGACATTTGTGTTGTTTCCAGTTGGGGTGATTATGAATAATGCTATTATAAACATGTGCATGTAGGTGGGTTTTTTAAATTTATTTTTATTTCAAAATATTAAGAGGGTACAAATGTTTATGTTACGTGGGTACCTTTTATAATGCTTAAGTCAGGGCTTTTAGTGTGCCCACAACCCAAATAGTGTTCATTGTACCCGATAGATCAGTTGTTACCCCTCCCCCGTCCTGATTTCCAATGACCTTTCCATGTCTTTGTGCCCCTGTGTGCCCATCAATTAGCTCCTAATCATTAGAGAGTGCATGTGGGCTTGTTTTTCTATTCCTAAGGTACTTTACTTGGGATAATGGCCTCCAGTTCCACACGCAGGTTTTTATATGAACATGTTTTTATTTTTCTTGGGTAACTACCTAAGAGTAGAATGAATAGGTTGTGTGGTAAGTGTATGTCTTACTTTGTGAGAAACTCCCAAATTATTTTCCAAAGTGGCTGAACCATTTTGCATCCCGCCAGCAATGTATTAACTGCTCTGCACCCTAGCTAGCACTTGATAATTTCAGAGTTAATTTTCAGCTATTCTAATAGATGTATAGTGGTGTTTCATTATCTTGAAATTTCACAGCAGTCATTTTGATGGGCATGCACAACTGCTTCTGATGGAACTGAGACAAAAAGAAAACATAAGGAAAAAAATTTCCTCCTGTGAAATGGAAGAATGGGAACAGGTGCGGAAAGGGTCCGGGAATGTGCGTGGCATCGAGTATGTTCTGGGTAAGAATCAGCTTTGGCTGAGGAACCGTGCCCGGGGAGGGGTGTCAGCCACTCTTCCTCTCCCCACAGAAGCCCAGCCCCAGAGCCCTGGCAGCTCTCAGGCCGTGTGCCTCAAGAGGAAAGAAGGAATGGAGAGCAGAGGGGAGACTCGCTCAGAGCACATTCTTGGTGGTGGTGTCCGTGTCGCTGGGCTGTGAGCTCCACAGAGGCAGCCCACGGTCACTCTCATCCCCTGCTCTGTCCCCAGACCTGGCTCACTGCCTGCCTTGCAACAGAAGCCCAGGATGTACTTGGGGAACGAATGGAACAGTGAGTGTCTCCGGACTATGTAAGCTGCCTAGTGACCGTCACCCAGAACAGTGACTGCATGCTTTCTGCCAGTCTGGGGAAAGTCCCTCTGCTCACTCTAGGCCCAACTCATGGCCCATCTGGTCATTTCTTTTCCTCCTCTCATGCCTGCCCATTCCACTGCCCCTTCCCTTGCCACCGCTTCTCCTCTGGGCTGTTGGCACAGCCTCCTCCAACAACGCTCCCTGCCCCCATCCCCTTCTCTCCCCCACTTTCTAATCTGCCTCATCTGCGTGAGATTCTGAATTCATATGTCCCAGCTCTTACCCTGTAGCCGCCACATCCAAGACTATACTGGCTCCAGGATGACCACAGGAGGAGAGCCAGCAGTCCGGCCTGGCTCCCTTCCTGCATCCCAGCTCCCTCTGGCCCTCTGGCAGGCTCAGGCTTTGCTCGAAGTCTGCCGTCACCTCTTTGATCCTGCCCTTTCCTGCCGCTGCCTGTCCCATCCAATCTGCATGGCCCTCAACAGAAGGGAGAACTAGGGCTTGAGAATCAGAGATGTGGGTTTGAACTCTGGTCCCCTAGTTCCTACCCGAGGGGACAATGACAAATTCTTTAACCTGAGCCTCAATGTTCTTTTCTCTAAAACAGGCAATAAAAGTACCTACCTGTGTCCTTGTGTGTCTATAAGGAGAATGTGTGTACAAAGGGCCTGGCACATGGGACAGCTTAAAGAATGGTAGATATGATTTTCGGTAAATCCTATAAGTATAAAAAGAAAAAAAAGGCTAAAAATGGAGCTATAATTTTTTTCTCAGTCCTCTACCAGCCAAAACACCGGAGGAAACTTCACTAAGCCTGCTGAATACACTGCCGCAAGGGGACAGGGCGTCGAGTGTGGGTGCTGCCGCCCCAGCCTAGTGGGCCACGCCCTGAAGAGAAGCTCCCCCAACTCCCGTGCACCTTGGGAGGGAGGCCTCCTGGGCTGAAAGGCCAAGTGCGCCACGACGACGGGAAACCGGGAAACCGCAGGGAAGACAGGCCAGAAGCAGAGCCCTTCCATGCTCAACCGCAGGCATTTGGGACTGGCTCACGAGTGAGCACTATGGATGGGGAAGATTCAGACAGACAGACAGACAGACAGCCTGTGGTCCCCCGACTGGGAGCTCCCTGAGGGCAGAGTCATGAGCCTAAAGATGGTTTGAGTAAGGGTGCCTCCAGATTCCTGCTGAAACTTAGTCCCCGGTGCAACAGTGCTAAGAGGCGTGGCCTTTCGGAGGCGATGAGTCATCAGGGCTCTGCCCTCACAATGGAATGGGAGTAGGTGCCCTTCTAGAAAGGGTGGATTTGGGGAGTGCACCCTTTTCCTCCCTTTCTGTCCTTCTGCCGCGTGAGGACACAGCGTCCCCCCTCTGGAGGGTGCAGCAACACCATGCGTCCTGGAAGCGGAGGGCAGCCCTCACCAGACAGCTGAACCTGTGGGCACCTTGACCTCGGACTTCCGGCTCTGGAGCTGTGAGGAATAAATTTCTGTTTTTTATAAATTACCCAGTCTCAGGTATCTTGCTAAAGCAGCCCCAACAAACTAAGACAAAGTTGTCCCAAGAAGAGGACACTCGAACGTCTCAGAAGTAGAATGGCCTCCTTGGAGTAGGAAGCCCCCAGCCTGGAGGGGATCCCGGAAGGGACGTTATGACCACATAACAAGTGTGACCAGTACCAGGGCAGAGAGGGACACTGCAGACGGGCTCTCTCATTCGATGCCCCTCGAGAGCCCAGCCTCCAAGAGGCCCCGAGTTTTCAGTGGGCTTCCAGTTGCTGGAAAGCAAGAATGCACCAAGGGAGCCCATCTGTCAGTCAGACAAGTAATTAAGGAAAGTAGGTGCTTTCAATACCAGGTAATGTCAGCACCAGGGGCTGTACACAAAGCCGGGTTATTTTTAGTATTCGGGGAAGGCACATTCTTCTTCTGATAATAAGAATAAAGAAAGCAATTAGAACCTCCAAGAAAATGAAAAGCTGTGCAGAAAAGCTGCAGCCCAAATGTAAAGCAATGAAGCACAGCCGCCTTTGAGCAACTGATGGGCATGGAAAATTAAACACATTTGACCTTGGCGCTAAGAACCCCTTCTTCATGGCCTGTGTGTCACAACATTGGATCAGTAGGGAAGCAAATGTAATCCTTGGATCTTCCTTGCTCAGCAGTGACAGTGGCCTGTGTTCCCACAGGCATGGGAATGTAACATCAGTTTACTGACTTTTTGTTTAACTTTTAGCGTCAATCTATAGACAAAATGCAACCGTTGCAATGATGACTTCAGAACAGTATCTAAATATTGTCATCTTTTAAAATGCAAGACTATTAAAGATTTAAGTTGAAAGGTAGAGGATTGAGGAGTGGAATAGGAGAGACAGGAGTGAAAAGTTTCTCCTTTTATACAGCGGGTAGTCATTAGGTTGTATCTCCACTCCATGGAGTAGGAAGTGAGGTTTATTAGTTAGAGCTCGAATGTAATCAGTAGAACCAAGAATATTTTCATTAGCAAAAACCAGGAAGAGTGGGGAGGGATGAAAGGGAGCTGTATAAGTGACCTAAAACCTTATTTTTCGTAGGTGAGTGGATTCGTTCCCTAGGGCTGCCATGACGAACTACAAGAAACTGGGCGACTTAGGCGACATGCAGTTGGCATCTCACCGTTCTGGAGGCTGCGTGTGAGTCACGGTGTCGCAGTGTCGGCTTCTGCGGGCCGTGAGGGAAGACCTGTCCCAGGCCTCTCCCCAGCGTCTGCTGGCTTGCTGGTGACCTTCGCTGGACCCTGGCTTGTGGATACATCACTGCGACAGCTGCCTTCGTCTCCGTCTGATGCTCTCCTGCGACTTCACCTTGTCTTCCCTCTGTGTCCAAATTGCCCCTTTGTATAGACAGCAAGAATTCTAAATCTGAATTTGTCCTTCCAGGTGGTTATGAAGAAACAATTGTCAAGGTAGAAGAATGGGACATATTAAATAGTTTGTAGGATTTGTAACTTTAAAATATTTAGACGCATGGTATGTGGGCCTCCAACTGTACCCTTGCCCCAGGCCCTGCAAATGTCGTAGGCGGCCTGGCAGGTGTGACCACAGTGAAGGAGAAAGGAAACCACCAGTTGCTGCCTGTAGAGAGCGGACAGGGGCGGGGAAGGATGGGAGAGAGAGCATAGTGGCACTCTGTTGGGAGCCTCTTGGTCAATGTGATTTTCTGCTTTGCCACTTGCATACTTCACTTTGCTAAAGCTTAGGAAAATTATTTAAGTTCCCACCTCTCCTTGGAATCTTCCTGATCCCCAGCTCTCACCTTCCTTCTCTGAACTTCCACAACGCTCGGCAGCTGTGCAGCATTCTTCCTGCCCCGACCTGCTCTCCCAGAGGCCTCTGCTGCCAACACCACCTGCCCAGGCCGACTAGCTGCCCACTTTCTAAGAGGTTCCCCTGGGCTGAATCAACAAGCCTCATTGCCAGGCCTCAGTGGTCTGCAGCCCCAGCCGAGCCCCTCCTCCACCCATCTCTGGCCTGGTGCTCCCACCTGTACCTCCCCACGTCCCTTCAGGGCTGGGAGAAGCCCCTGCCCGCAGCCTCTGTCTGGTGGCGGGGAGGGGGAGCAGCACTGTGGAGCGCCTGGCGCCTGGCGCGTTAGTGAGGAGCAGGCGTCTGCGGCACCAAATGGCTTTCTGCTGTCAGCAAGAGGCTCGGACTTCCTCCTGGCCATCCCTGGTCTTTCAGGTTGCTGTTCTCTGTGTGTTTCTATCTCACCCCCCGCCCCCAGGCTCTCCCTGCTCCCTAGCCCTCCAACCATCGCCTCATTCCACTTTCCCTGTGGGACAAAGGGACTATTGCTGTTCCCCACTTCCAGCCCCCAGGCGCTTCATCTGCAGCAGCTACCCCTGCCCCACCCACCAAATCTCGGCCAGTTCCTAGTCCCCACAGCTGACACAGGGACGGGATCCTGACCCTGGAACACTTGTCCCAGGCTAGAACCTAGAATCTAAACACTCCGGTAGCCTTTGGGGGGGGGGGCTGGGGCCGCAAATGGGAGGTCTGCTATGTGCCCTGGGTGTGTGGCCCAGGTCTGCATTTCTAGACATTGTGGGGCCAGCGTAGAGAAGAACAAAAATAATTCCCGTGAAATATGCCCAGCTGGTGCTGCTGCTGAAGGCGGCCCCACGGGCTGAGGAAAAGGCCAGGGAGGGTGGGGCAGAAGTGGGGTGCAGGGCCCTGAGGGGGCAGTGATGGGAGCGCAGGCTGAGGAGGCCCTGGGTGGTCAGGGGCTGGGGCAAAGGCTTCCCGATGGAAGGCCAGAGGTCATTCTTCATTCAACAACTACTTACTGGGCACCTAGAAGTGGCAGGCCCTTTGCCAGGCATTGTGGGGTAGCAGTGAGCAAACCAAGTCCCCCCTGTATGGGGCTCACTTTCAGATGGGGAGACGGTGAGAAACACTAACAGACACATCAGGGGGACGGGACAGAGAGTGCCAGAGGCCCTGGAAAGCCTTTCAGGGGAGCTGGCATTGGAACAAATATCAAAAGACAAGAGGAGGTGAGCCCTGAAAATATGGGGGACAGTGTCCAGGTGGAGAAAAGAGCAAAGGTGGCAGCCCAGGGTGGAGCAGGTGGCATGTAAGGCTGGACATGGTGAACAAGGGCAGAGAGTGGCAGGGGGCAGGGCAGGGGCATAGTCGGACCCTGCAGGGAGGCTCGGCCTGGTTTCCAAGGTCAGGGGTCCTGAGAGGGGTGAGGACCTCACAGCTGGGTGGTGGGAGGGGTGCAGGACAGTGGGAGAGGAGACAGCAGGGAGGCTGCCCCGTGTAGGTCAGGCTTGGCTGGGCCGTGGGTGGTGCAGGAGAGAGGCAGGGCCAGCAGCACCCCCAGCCTCAGGGGCATGCGGTGTGCTCAGCTCACTCCCCTCCTGTCTCCACCAGCAGGAGCCAGCAAACATGCCCGGGATGAGCACAGGCCCGCCTCTCACAGGCGTGCACGTGGAGCTGCGCCTGAACACATGCGCACACAGGCTCCTCGGGTAAACGTGGACCTCTGTGAGATTCTCTAGAACAGCAGAACACTGGGCTGGAGGACTTTAGACCAACGCTCACGTGTGACAGAGGAACTGAGGCCCAGGGAAAGGAAGTCCCATAATTTGGTGGTCTAGGCAGATGTCAGCGTGTCCTTCCCATGTGTGTGCACACGTGCTCCCGTGCGCTGGCCAGTGTCTTCCAGAGCCTTCTCCTCTCAAGGGCTGGGGCCAGACTCTCCCTTCCAGGACACCCGCAGGCTGACCCAGTCCCTCCAGGAGTGAGCAGGGCTGCCTCTGGCCACTCCAGCAAGCCACGGCGGGCGCGGGCTGGGACCCAGACCGACTCTGGCCCCTTGGTGTCCGGCAACAACGCACACCCGACTGGCCTGGCCTCGCAGCTGGGCCACCGCGTGTGCCTCTCAGAGCCTGTGTCAGGGCCTGCAGACCTTGCTCTGTCTCTCTTCTTTCCTTTCCCTCCCTCCAGCTCTAACCCTGCTGTCTGCAGTTCTCTGTGGTTCTCTCTTCCTCCAGCGTCTCTCTCATTCCTGTTTCTCTCCAGTTCTCTCTCTGCCGGGCTCCGTCCCTCTCCATTTTCTCATCGGCATCTTTTGTTGACTTTCAGGAAAAGCTGACGTGGCGCCACCAGTAGCCCCTGGTCAGTGAGCGAGGCTGCTTGGGGTGGGGGCAGGCGCAGCAGCCAGCTGGAGGGGGAGGCCTGTACCCGGAGGGAGGGGCAGCGGAGAGGGAGGGGGGAGGGCCGGCCTCTGCGAGGCAGGAAAGGGAGGGGCAGAAACACTGCGGGAGGAAGTGGGCCCCACCTCCCCTGCTAGGGTGGCCAACTGTCCTGGTTTGCCTGGGACCGCTGGGGTCTTAGCACTGAAAGTCTCATGTCCTGGAAAACCCACCAGTCCCAGGCAAACCAGATGGTTGGTTAGTCGCCCTACAAGCTGCCTGAGGCCCACAGGAGCCAGGGCAGGGCTGACCTGAGGGCTCCCAAACCTGGCCCCTCTTCCCCCTCGCACCACCTGGTGGCTGCCCCTGCGCCGCTTCGGGGCTGTGGAGTCCGAGTCCGGGCTGGGGTGGGGGTTGGAGGGTCAGGAGAGCTCTCCAGGCCTGGGCCTCCAGGCTCCTTTTGTGAGCTGGGCACTGTCAAGGTCCACACACTCACTGTGGGTCCCCATCTGCAGGCCTGAGCCCAGCTGGGAGGAGGTCAGGAGAGGGAAGATGGCAGCTCAGAGAGTGCACAGGAGGCCCCCAGGCTGGGAGGAGGACAGGAGGTCAGGCGTCTGCCTTGTCTCCTCACGAGCTGGCATCATCTCCTGTGGGTGGGGTCTGCAGGATGACGGCAAAGGGACAGTAGGCATTGCCCGGGAGGTAGCAGGCCCCCACCTTGGGGCTGTGCACAACTGCTCCTTGGCTCTGCAGGGCGAGGGGGCACCTGTCCCACTGTGAAACACCTTGGAGGTCGGAGTGTCCTTAGCTGAGTCTGCTTGGCCCTGGTGGTGGTGGGGCACGGCTGCACCTTGCAGGCAGCGGTAGGACCTGGGTGGATGGGAACGAGCTGTCAGTGACAGTGTCATTTCTGCCTGAGTGGGCTGGCACCTCCAGCGTCTCCTGCCCTCAGCCCCCAACGGCGGTTCCGAAGTGGGAGTCTAAGCCTGGTGTTCGGCTGTCGTCAGGTCGTCAATGGCCGGGAGTGAGGGGTGACGGCTCCCTGCGCCCAGGAGGGCTGGTACCAACAGAGTGTGGGGCTCCTAGAGCGTATGAAATATTTTCTAAAATGTCCTTATTGTAAGGAACCAAATAACCTTGGGCAGGCTCCTTCCCCACACTGGGCCCAAAGTCCCTATGTGTGCAATGCGAAGGTGGAGTTGGTGAGCTCTAGTGCTTCCGCTTCTAGCACCCAACGGCCGTCCTCGCTGTCCACGGCTGTCAGGGCTATTTACTGAGACCTTCTCTGTACCAGGGATCAGCAGCAACTGCAGGGAAGGGCGTCTGTCCTCGATGCGCGTGCTCTCTGGTAGAGGGTCGCGCATTAAACACGTGTGAATAAACAATTGCGGATTGTGGCAAGAGCTAAGAAGAAAACTCAGGACCTGCGTGAGAGTAATTAATGGGAACTGAGGGCTGGGAGACGGTTGCACTCTGACCCTGGTGTGGTTTGGAGGAGGGGGGTGGGATGTGGTCTGTGAGCACCTCAGAGCACCTGGAGGTGAAGCTGGTGGCGCGGGTTCTGTGCAGGTGCGGGTGCATGGGCTGGACAAGACACAGTGAGGCCCTGTCCACCAGGAAGCCCTCCCTGACTGACAGTGAGGTCGCTGGTTCTCCCTGTGGTTTATCGAACCTTGGATGTGTGTACTTCCAGCCTCTGCTTCACCCACCAAACAGGACCTTCCCAGAAATTCTATGGCACGGCAAGGGGGATGCGAGACAGGGCTTCCTCCCCAGGGGGAGGCTCTAGATCAGACCGCAACAGACTCTCAGCGCGGGACTCAGGCATCGCGCAGGCAGCGTGCTCTGGACCTCTGCGGCCTTGCGTGCTGACAGGGAATGGGGCATGAAGATCGGGCAAGGCTCCCTGGGGATGCTTTCAGCCAAAGATGCTGGCTGTCTGAGCTCGGCTCTGCCCAGAGGGTAAGTTGAGTCGTGAGCAGAATCCGGCCAGTTAACAGATGGAAGGAAACAGAAGCTTGGGTGAGGGCTACTGGAGGATACAGTAGGCTTATGATGTGAAAGGCAAAATTATTCAGTCTACAAAATTCGTTTCTGGGCTTCCTCGTCTTTTGTTTTCTCTTCCAGCTCTCTTGCTTTAGACCACTTTTATCTGATTCTTTCTCTCTCTCTCTCTTTTTAGAGGAGATCTTGCTCTGTCACCCAGGCTGAGTGCAGTGGCATGATCAAGCTCCCTGCAGCCTTGAACTCCTGGGATCAAGCGATCCTCCTGCCTCAGCCTCCCGAGTAGCTAGGACCACAGGTGTGTGCACCACCACACCCGGCTTTCAGGCCTCTTTGGGTCCCATTCCCACTCCCCTGGGCCCTCACGTTTGGGGAAAAGGGCCAAATATCCTCGCCTTGGAGGTGTATGCCCCTCCCATATGGCACTGGGGCAGTGGAGCCCAGAGAGGGCGATGCCGACTGCACAGGCACCAGCCCCTGGGGTGCGGTTTCAGGCACTGTGGGGCCCTGCAGAGAGTGCTCCAGGAATGGGGCCCCTCAGCCTCCCCTCCGTGCTCTAGGTGGGCAGTCCTGGGTGACAGAGCCTCTCTGTGAGTCTGGTGTCTCAGAATCGCAGGCAGGGACCCCAAAGCCCAGCTGCTTCCCTCCCTGAGCTTTCTGTTACCGAGTTCTGAGCCCCTGTCCCCTCCCATGCAGTGGAAAGCCCAGTGTCGGGGTGGGAGGCGGCAGGCCTGGAGCCTTAGGAGCTACCTGGACAAGGACACGCCTTTGCGGCAGCTCAGTCTCAGAGCTAGCGGGAGGTGTTTCCTTAAAACAGTGGCCTGGCCTAACCCTGGCTTCTCGCTGACGGTGGAGGCTGGTGGCTGTGTCAGACGCTGTGGCCTTCTCAGCTCTTCACTGGGACACACGCGCGCACACGCACACTCACCTCCACACACACTCACACACACCAAGGCAGGCACAGAGTGTCTGCCCACAAACACACACAGAAACATGCATTCACAGTCACACATAGGCACACACATCCACATACAAACACACACACTTGAACACTCTTAAGCGCACACAAATTCACACACACACACAGTCTCATACCCACATCAACGCGAGCACACACGGACACGTCCACACACAGGGGTGCACACTCACACCCACACTCTTGCACACGCGCATACATGGACACACATGTGGCTCCTGCTGGGAGAAGGAGCCCCACTCTTTTCTTGCTTGAAGTGAGGTTAGAAGTCTCCCCCCTTCCATGAGATTTGATTTCTCTCCCTGGCCCCGCTAAAAACTTCCTGG